CATGCTATCCTTTCGTCAAGTCTGTCATGCTCTAGTCGAGTCGGTCATGGTCTCGTCTCCCTCTAGTCGACTTGGTCATGCTATCCTTTCGTCAAGTCTGTCATGCTCTAGTCGAGTCGGTCATGATCTCGTCTCCCTCTAGTCGACTTGGTCATGCTATCCTTTCGTCAAGTCTGTCATGCTGTAGTCGAGTCGGTCATGGTCTCGTCTCCCTCTAGTCGACTTGGTCATGCTATCCTTTCGTCAAGTCTGTCATGCTCTAGCCGAGTCGGTCATGGTCTCGTCTCCCTCTAGTCGACTTGGTCATGCTATCCTTTCGTCAAGTCTGTCATGCTCTAGTCGAGTCGGTCATGGTCTCATCTCCCTCTAGTCGACTTGGTCATGCTATCCTTTCGTCAAGTCTGTCATGGTCTCGTCTCCCTCTAGTCGACTTGGTCATGCTATCCTTTCGTCAAGTCTGTCATGCTCTAGCCGAGTCGGTCATGGTCTCGCCGCCCTCTAGTCGAATTAGCTATGCACCATTCAACTTTGTCAAGGTTGTCAACTTTGTCAAGATGGATCTCTTTACTATTCACTTGATGATATTTTGGTCACTAAATGTTTGAAAAAAAACACCATTGAGCTGGATTTTCCTCCCGGTTCTCCCTGGTCCTCTTCACTCTGGTCCCCTCTGGCGGTGTCACTGGGCGTCTCCACAGATGCTGCCGTGTCCACGCTGTCCTCGCTATACACTGAGCAGCCGTCCTGGAGGTCTGAGGCAGTGGTGTCCTGGACCTGCTGATTCAGGTCCACCTCCTGGGTCACCGATAGGACCTTCAGGCTGGCCTCCAGAGCCTCCTTCTCCTTCAGGAGACTCTTATAGGCCTGGACCACATCTTTGAAGCGGGTCTGGTATTGGACTAGCTGCTTCTTCTGGGACTCAATGGTGTCCAGCAAATCCTTCCTGCTGGGACCGCCCCCGAAACTCATCCCAAACTTCTCCATTACTCCAATTGGTCTACCAAGGTCAGGCCAGACTGACGGTCTACGAGGGTAAGATTAGACTGGATCCATCATTATGCAGGATCGGAACTGGTTCATCTAGGACCCATCATCATACTGGGTTTGTTGGTTTCTGAAAACAGACACTTTCTCTTCATAAACTTGAATGAAACAAACAGCAGGATTTTAACAGCAGCTGTGGAAAGTTGTATTACCTTCAGTTATAAGACATATGGCTTTGATATGAGAGACTGGGGGTTCGATTCCCACTGTGACACACGTCCACCAATGTGTCACTGAGCAAGACACTTAACCCCAGTTGCTCCAGAGGTGTGCGACCTCTGATAACATAGCAACCTTAAGTCGCTTTGTCAGCTAAATGAGTGAATGTAAATATGTAATAATCTAATGTTATATTGCTAAACTGATTAATTTAGCGCTTTTTCTGTATTTAATATGATTTTAAATAAAAATATTACATTTCTGGACTTCTGGTTGGACGTTACTTTGCACTGTAACAATGACTTTAACCTATTTCTCATATTATAGACTAAATGATTAATTGCAAAAATATATTAACAAGTTATTCAATAATCCATGAAAGTAACAGTTTGTTACTTTCAATCACTGCCATTACTTTTTAGATTTACTTAAATAACGTACACTACTATTACATAGACTCATTTAGCCATTTCAGTGCTGTCTTAGTTGTTTAAGAGACAATAAATCAAACATGTTGTCCAGCGATTTCCAACCTAGCGATGACTAACCCTGACTAACCTTGATTAACCTCGGCTAACCCTGATTAGCCCAGGCTAAGCCTGGCCAACCCTAGCTACAGTTAACTAACCCTGGCTACGGTTAACTAACCCTGGCTAACCCTGGCAAACGTTAACTAACCCTGGCTAACCCTGGCTCAGGTTTACTAACCCTGGCTAACGTTACCTAACCCTGGCTAAAGTTAACTAACCCTGGCTAACCCTGGCTCAGGTTTACTAACCCTGGCTAATGTTAACTAACCCTGGCTAACCCTGGCTCAGGTTTACTAACCCTGGCTAATGTTAACTAACCCTGGCTAACCTTGATTAACCTTGACTAACCCTAACTAACCCTGGCTAACGTTAACTAACCCTGACTAACCCTGGCTAACGTTAACTAACCCTGGCTAACGTTAACTAACCCTGGCTACGGTTCACTAACCCTGGCTAACGTTCACTAACCCTGGCTAACGTTAACTAACCCTGGCTAACGTTTACTAACCCTGGCTAAAGTTAACTAACCCTGGCTAAAGTTAACTAACCCTGGCTACGGTTAACTAACCCTGGCTAAAGTTAACTAACCCTGGCTACGGTTAACTAACCCTGGCTACGGTTAACTAACCCTGGCTAAAGTTAACTAACCCTGGCTAAAGTTAACTAACCCTGGCTAAAGTTAACTAACCCTGGCTACGGTTAACTAACCCTGGCTAAAGTTTACTAACCCTGGCTAAAGTTAACTAACCCTGGCTAACGTTTACTAACCCTGGCTAAAGTTTACTAACCCTGGCTAAAGTTAACTAACCCTGGCTAAAGTTAACTAACCCTGGCTAACGTTTACTAACCCTGGCTAACGTTAACTAACCCTGGCTAAAGTTAACTAACCCTGGCTAACGTTTACTAACCCTGGCTAAAGTTTACTAACCCTGGCTAAAGTTAACTAACCCTGGCTACGGTTAACTAACCCTGGCTACGGTTAACTAACCCTGGCTAAAGTTAACTAACCCTGGCTAAAGTTAACTAACCCTGGCTACGGTTAACTAACCCTGGCTACGGTTAACTAACCCTGGCTAAAGTTAACTAACCTGGCTAAAGTTAACTAACCCTGGCTAAAGTTAACTAACCCTGGCTAAAGTTTACTAACCCTGGCTAAAGTTTACTAACCCTGGATAAAGTTAACTAACCCTGGCTACGGTTAACTAACCCTGGCTAAAGTTAACTAACCCTGGCTACGGTTAACTAACCCTGGCTAAAGTTAACTAACCCTGGCTAAAGTTAACTAACCCTGGCTAAAGTTAACTAACCCTGGCTACGGTTAACTAACCCTGGCTACGGTTAACTAACCCTGGCTAAAGTTAACTAACCCTGGCTAACGTTTACTAACCCTGGCTAACGTTACTAACCCTGCTACGGTTAACTAACCCTGGCTAAAGTTAACTAACCCTGGCTAAAGTTAACTAACCTGGCTAACGTTTACTAACCCTGGCTAAAGTAACTAACCCTGGCTAACGTTTACTAACCCTGGCTAACGTTTACTAACCCTGGCTAAAGTTAACTAACCTGGCTAAAGTTAACTACCCTGGCTACGGTTAACTAACCCTGGCTAAAGTTACTAACCCTGGCTAACGTTTACTAACCCTGTGGCTACCTGGCTACGGTTGGCCAACCCTGGACCTCTCAGACCGACTTTACTGACGTTAACAAACACAGAGTTTAATCCGGGTCTTACCTGGTCCAAAGCTGTCAGCAGTTACAGACCACTGCAGGTTTTAACAAACTGAAGCGGGAAAATGTCTCTGAATTGATTTATTTCATCAGAAACTGTAAATATTCAAGAAACTCAGACATTAATCTGAAGAGCTGACTCTCGGCTATCAGCCGCCATGTTGGTCTGAGCCGGAATTGGACGAGGATGCTAGATCCTGATGCTACGTTCACGGCTGTCAGGAAAAAAAGACCACCGAGCTCACGCGATGAAACACTTTGTTTTGTAAATTATATCAAAGCGTCAG